GATTGGAGATTCTCAGTCATCCAGATCATGGTTTATCCCAAAGTTTTTTGTTTTTTTTTCAAGAGGCAACTGGACTTTCTGGTTTTTCTTTGAAGATGTTTCACTTCTCCAGAGTTGAAGAAGCTTCTTGGATGAGAATCGAAATGTCTTCAAAGAAAAAACAGAAAGTCTAGTTGCCTCTTGAAAGAAAAAAAACACCTTTGGCCAAACCCAGTTTGTTTCCAGAGCAATGCGAATTCTTCTGCAGAAACGGAGGGTGGGAACCAAGTGCCTTTTACAGAACTTGGAGGAGAAGGACAGCGCCAACATTTTTCTTTGCTCTAAGCAAGCAAGCCCCAACTCTTTCCTGCGGCTGAGTTCAGAACGGCTCTTCTTCCGGACATTCCTGGTTCACGGTAAAAGTGTCTTATAAACGTAACTGTGTGACGGTGGCCGTCACTTCCCCCTATCCCTCCCCCCCCCTTTTAAAAAGTTTTAGCACTCGGTGACCCCGGAAAACCAATCATGCTCTGGGACTTTATTTGGAAATAGGCTTGATGGAATCGGAGAGGGCCTTTTCCTTAGAGAGTGCGGACTGATTCAGACGTTAGAAGGAGAGCTCTGTGAAGGGTTGCTGTACAAGCAGTGGCGGATGAAGGCTCACGGGTGCCCTAAGCACTGACAAATCTTGGTGGCCTCCCCTCTTCTTTGTACATATACTATACAAACGAAGACAAGCTTAGGCTACATAAAAGTTTCCTCGGCCTGGTGCCCTAAGCACATACTTAGTCTGCTTCATGGTGCTCCACTGTGTACAAGATTCCCCTCTCGCCCACCTCCAGCTGGGACTCCTGACCGGGAGAGGACCTTCAAGGAAATCCCTTCGGTCCCGCGAGACAGAGGCCTTTTGCTTGTTCATTGATTTGCGTTGCAGGGAGGAGGAGGAGGAGGAGGAGGAGGAGGAGGAGGAGGAGGAGACAGTCCGTGCGGGGCATCTCTGTCCACTTGCATCTCTCCTCCCTTTCCGAAAACGTGAGGTGAAAGGGTAAAGACGACCATTTGTCAAGCGTTTGTCAGAAACTTTACCGAAATAAAAGCACTCAAGGAAACAGCCCAGCCAGTGTAAAGAAAGGACGAAAGAATGAGGGCTCAAAAGTTAGTCTTGAACAGACATCTCAGGCCAGTTCTTGTATTACTCCCCCAAATTATTAGATTTTAAAATTATAACACGGAACGATTTTCCTCAACCTCCTACTTTTCTGGTATGTTGGACTACAACTTCTGTGAGGGAAAATGATGGTAGTGTAGTCTATTGGGGACAAGGGCACTGAAGAGTCTGACGGTGGGATATATATATATTATGGCAGAGCGTCAACATAGGTCACTTCCAAAAGTTAAAACATCCCTGTTACTTTTTACAGTATAAATGACAGAAACTGCTCAGTTTTTTTTAAAAAATGACTTCAGAATGGGTCATTGTGACCATTAAAAATGGGGTTGCTGGTGAACTTGTTAAATTGATTAAATTGAAGTATCTGAGAATGAAAAACATTTCATGCTTATTTTAGCCAGGGAGAATGTTGGAGGGAAAATTATTCCGTTTTTAAAATAAACCTCCGTGATTGTTCAATTTGGATTCTTGTTGTCAAACTAGAGATAGACAGATAAACAGACAGACAGACAGTGATGGATGGATACAGACAGACATCACGTTTTTACGATGGGTACTTTAGCTACATTTTTGAGCTTGCAATCGCTTGCAATTCCTTAGGGGGTATGATTGGCTTAGGTTCCAGATGTGATTCTCAGCACGTTCCCTCCCAAACCAACCTGCTGCATATAATGGGATTGTTTTACATCAGTGCCTGTGGACAGCTAAGCAGCTACCAAAAATGAGCAAGTTTGAAAACTTTCTCGGTCCACTACTTGTTATTCGTGTGTGTGAGTGTGTGTGTGTGTGTGTGTGTGTGTTTGTACAACAAACGCCACACCCGCATACACAGAGAATGGAAGCATTCCGATCACAACAAATTGCTCCGGTGACAGATTGAAGGCAACCCTCTCTCTCCCTCCTCTTCCCACAGCAGAGTTATAGAGGCAGGATGGAGAGGAATGTTGGATGCACTTTGAATGAATTGTTTGGACTCGATATGATTGGCAGTCCACCTGCCACAAATTCCCAAAGTTCTGCCAATAAACCAGCCACCCGCCCTACATAACTTAGCAGTAAGGGAGGCTTCTATTTTCAGGGCATCTATTGTTAAGTTTTGGCAAATGGCAGCTTAAGGTTTCAATCCCTCCAACCGGTAGAAGGAATCTAAATTCAAATTTTTCCCTTTTCATTTAGTTGTTTTAGCGTTACCTCCCTCGCCAAGAACCAGCTGCCTCCAGGAGAGGAACTGGAAGAGGTGGAAAAGGAAGAGGCGCAGAAGCCTCCAAACTAGGGGATCTACTCTGGGTTTGTGCCCCGGCCTTCCTGGATGTTTCCAGACCACCAGAAGATCGAGACCTCCCTTCTCCTCAAACTGGTAACAAATTAACTGAACACACACACACACATTTCACACCGCCGCCGCCGCCCGCTTTGGCCCAACCAACGGGAGGCCTTGGGAGGATTAAAGTTCAAAACCTTTTACAACTTCCCCTGCCTCGGGTCGGGTGATTGATGTGGGAAAAGCTGCCTTCGGGACAGCAGGGGGCGGGGAGGGGGAACACGTCTCTCGCTCGGTTCTCGGGGGGATGCCTAGATGTCATGCTAAACCAGGATTATAATAACTAAAGACGAAGTTATAACGATCGCGGCTCGCTCTCTACATCGCTTTGCCCCTCTCTTTCATTAAACCTGGTTGAATAATAAGTCAACGCGGTGGGTTCACACTGGCTGCTAAACTGCGCGGTTATTCTAAGCGAGAACAAAGCCCGCGGCAATTTAATGGGACGGGGATTAAACCAGGTTCGGCAACTGTGTTGGAAACAAGCGAATTGAATCTCCCAAAGTAGCGAAATAGCCTTTTCCCCCCTTTCTGACCAGAACTGCCTTCTCCTTTCTGCTGGATGAGGCCCATCGCCCGACGAAACGGGGCCTTGAACCCCGCCGAGTTCTCCACCCTTCACCCCGTCCTGCCTCCGAAACGGGTCTGATTACTCGAGTCCCGCGTCCCCCTTGGCCCAGCCTCCTTCAAGCCGGTGTAATAAGTTGGCCACGCTGGTTAGGGATGAAGGGAGCCGTCGTGATGCAGCTCGGATTTGCTGGATTTCTTCCTATCAAATTAGGGAATCTGGGCATCTGTTTCTCCTGGACTTCAGCTTAAATGTGTCCCCAAATCCATTTCCCCCTGAACGGGTTGAATTACAGCTCTCGGAATCCTTCTCTGGTGGGGCTATAAAACCAGAAGAAATGCCTCACACCTTCCCTCAATTAGCAAATTCGCTCCATGAATTTAATGGTCGTAGGTACGTATTGCGCTGCCAGGATCTCTTCTGTCTTTCCTTCCACGTAATATATACTTCAGGCCAGGAAAGACTGGCCGGCTCCATCCATCCATCCGCCCTTATGGACTTGTTAACATTCCAGATCAGTGATGAACCTGGATCTCGCCAACAATGGGTGTAAAGTTATCCGTGCGCCTGTGCTGGGAATGAGCGAATGGGAATTGGACAGGCCATATGACAGGCTGAGCTAAAATCTCACCTGGGACCTTTGATTTCTGTGGTTGGGAACTTAATAGTAGAGCAGGAGCTGCTTCTGGCGACCAACCGCTCATAAGCTCCGGCCTTTCCCAGCACCGGGGCTCGGAGAGGGGGCTTCCAAGACCATCCCAATCCAAACCTCTCTCCAGGCAGAAAACCCAGAACCCACCAACTGTTCTACACCTCTGCTTGGGAGAGTTGCAAGGGAGGAAGAGTCGCCCCCTCCCGGCCAGCCCCCACTCTGGAGGAGGCAACCGAAGGGGTTATTTTGTTTTCTAAAGCCGGTGCGGACATTTCTTCACCTTAGCTCCGTTACACGCGTCAAGCAAGGGTAGTTCTACTGTGTAGCGGTACCAGTGAGGTCAGTTTGCGAGGTAATCCCGGCTTTGCATATTTCGATTTCTGAGTGTCCTCGGCTAGATCTCTCCCCTTCAAAAGACAGCCTTTTTTTCCCACGAAGGGAAAGCCTTCGCCTCACAGACAAACGCGTTCCGGGACAAAAATGCAACGCGCGAATGACCTCAGTATAAACTTAATCCCGACTCGGCGGCACTTCCAGATTTATGGGTCTGCAACTCGCGTGCAGGAGAGGGAAGCTGCAAGTTCAACAAGATGGAAGATGTTGACAGAAACATTTAGGGCTCATCAGCGAGATGCCGAGAGAACCCCGAGGGGTGTGTGTGTGTGTGTGTGTGTGTGTGTGTGTGTGTGAAAGAAGCGGACGTGTTGAGCAGTGCCCCTCGGGGAGCGATCCCTGGGGGACCAGATCCCTTTTCCACAGAAAGCAAGCCCAAGAGAAGCCGAGCATCTCTTCCTGCAGTCCCTTCTCCCCAACACACACACCTCTCCAATGGAAACGCTCGGAGGACACTCGCGGATGGCAAGATTCGCAGATTTCCTGCAGCGAGCAGTTCGAAAGTTCGAATTGGGAGTTCGATTCCCCGCAGCAGCAGCAGCCACCTCCTCCCCTTCCTCGAATAAGCAGCGGGGGCTGAGACAACCGGGCCGTGGCCATTGGTCTTGGGCGCTCAAGGCTGAGCCAACGCGACTTCCCACCGCGGTTCAAAACCTGTTGGCCTTCCTTCTCCCTTCAGCTGGCTCTGGAGCCGTCAGCCCCCGTTGCCCCCCTTCCCCGCCCGAGCTCCCCTGGCCCTCTTGGCTCTTCAGGGATGGGTTTCACCCAGGAGCAGCAACGCAGCAGCCGGGCTCTCAGCGGAACAACCCAGGCTAAAGGCGGCGCTCCTTTCGGGACGCGCTCCTCGGGGTCAACCCCTCCCCGGCTTTGGGTCCTTCGACTCCCTTCGGGGGTCCGGTCAGCCCTGGGCTCTTACCGTGGAAATCCGGGAAGCGGGGCGCCATGATCCCGGCTCGAATCCAGTGCTCCAGCTGGAAGGAACCGACCCCCGCGGCCGCCTTCAGAGGCTCGACTCCCGGCTGCGACAACGGGGGGAAGGCGGCGGGGTAGGCGAAGGCGGAGTGCTGGCCGGCCAGAGCTGGGATGGGGTAAAGCGGGGGCGGGTAGATGGCTGGCAAGCCGCCGAGCGCCGGCGGAGGCAGGTTCAGCAAGCCGGGCTTGGGGATGAAGGCGGCGGTGGGCAGAGGGACCAAGCCCACCGGCGGCGCGCAAGGAGAGGGCGTCTCGGTCCGCAGGCAGGCGCCGGGACTCCCGGCTGAGCTCTCCGGGGAGACGCTGGGCACCGGCCGGGCCGGCTCCTCAGCCAGGAGGGCGTCGATGCGGAAGTTCTGGGATTTCTCCATGGGCTTCTGCATGCCGGCTTCTCGGAGCCTTGGCTGCCGCTTCGGCCCGTCCTCTGCGGCCCCGCGCTGCCCTACCTTCCCGGCTGCGTCGGCGTCGGCGTTGCTCCAGCCCCTTCCTCGGCGCACACCTGCCCGATTGCCCGGCCGCGCCGCCGCTGCCCCTCTCTCTTCTGCAGCCGCTACTGCGGGGTGGCTCCTCCTTTCCCTCCCTCTCCCCTCCGGGCAGACAGGCGAGGCGACGCTTCCAAATCCCCTCCCCACCTGTCCGCTCGCTCCCCGCCCCTCGCCCCTCCGACCGAGACTGCCCCAGACCCCCCCC